TGCGACAGAACGCGTTACGGTCGCACGAGTTCTTCTGCAAACTGCACTCGTTGCGTTTCTCTTAAGTAGAAAAAAAACAAATTCGATGGTACATGACAACAACCGACAGACGGCCAACGGCTGTGAGTCACCTCGAGTCTTCCTGAGCATCAAGGAGACGAAGCAGAGACCGGCGCCGGTGCGATGCGGCGCTCCGATCACCCTGTTGATACCGACGTACAGTACGCGGCTTTCGGATTTGAAGTCGAACAGCGTGTCCGACTGGATGTCCCAAGAGTCGAGGATCTGCTTGCTGTTGTACATGGTGTAGCGCACGACGCGGTGCTGTAGCTCCAGAGAGATGGTGGTCTTGCGTCGGCGAGGAAACGCGTTGTCGATCACCTTCACCGGGCGTTCGCCTCGCTTCGCGTTCTCGTCCGGGTAAATCCTCAGCTGGCGGTTGTGGATCTGCAACTCGGCTCCTCGTCTCGGCGACGTCGTCGCCTTCTTCACACTGCCGAAGCCGAGGGCGTCGATTGACTGGGCCAGGTGAAACGTCCACAGCTTCGGTTTACGGTAGCTCAGTACGAACTTGACTGTCGAATACGGACTGGTCAGGTCGATCTGTAGCAGGGCCTGCTTCGAGCAAGCGTTCTTGCCGCCGGAACCGAAGCCCTGCGACGAGTAGTTCCAGTGCTTCAGCACGGCGTCGAAGTGCACGTGCTCCGAGAACCCCAGCACCTGGCCGGACTTGACGTTGATGCGAAGCGTTTCTTCCTCCGTCCAGCAGAACGCACAATTCCAAATCAGTGCTAGAAACGATTCAACATTACTTTGCAACGGATCCTGTTTACAAGAGGAAACTGTTTACACGACTATCGTCTTTGCTGTTCAGCGGAGAATACCACGAGGAAGAGACAGGCAGGAAATCTACCAACAAAATTGCAAACAACGTAAAGTAACATTCCTCCATCATAATATCGCATGCGAATCCTCATGATTAAGTTAAAGTGTCCGTACCTTTTATAGTAGACAGATTAGGCAAGATTTTGAGAAGATCTTAGGTAAAGAATAACTGACTTGCATGACACACAGATGGAAGCTAGAACAAATATTTATTACCAGGTAGTTTATGGGGAAAAAGCGTTGTGATCTAAATATTTCTATATTTTCACTGATTATACTGGCATTCAGTTTCATTCGAGGCGATTGCTTGTGGAAACTAGGCAAACCACATGGAATCCGGCCAAACATTTCTGTGACTAAAAACGATTATGGATTTCGTAAATACAAATTGAATTGACAGCAAATTGAGCAAATTATTTCGTATGTTATTTGGAGTAAAAACAAATGAAATAAATCGAGTCTTTTTATATGTTTGCCATATTTCTTTGCTGGGTTTGTGAAACAATACAAGACAAGAGGAGAAACTTAATCAGTTCTTGTATCTACGTAACTGCAGTTTTGCCTGAAAAATGCCTGATGAAGTCACGCCTGAGCGCCGTATCCTCGTTTAACTTTAAGGAGCATAATTCGAATAGAATAAGCATTAAGGTCACCGATGTTTGACCATTGATCTCGTATTATTGCCTCAATGAGGCTTTACCTCCTTTCCGAAAAGGATGGGAAGCTTGTAACCATTGGAATATCAGTTGTCCTTAAGTTTCTTTGATGGGGGGCATTTGCAGCATCCCTTTATTTACGGAGGTCATGTTGCTGCGCCGATCTCTATTTCGGTACCATCGCCCAAAGTGCCTTATTTTTAATCACAATGCAGGAAGTACAGCAACTAGCCTCCTAAAATCCCTTTCTCAGTAGCACTCATTTATCTACCTGATGGTCTGACAGGAGTTTCTTCTAACGGAGTCTCGACTGCCAGTTCTACACCCTACCGATGGGAGCCCTCTGGTCATTTCGTACATTTGAAATCAAGCTATCAGCCTGATTTCTTAAAAGACCTAGACAGTATTTAGCAGCAAGTGCACCTCCTGTTGCTATCAACATACATTCGTCAATTCAGCGCAGTCTCGAGATCAGCTCAGCGCTTGAATCAGCAATTGCATCCTGAGGGAAATCAAGGATGCGTGAACTTCTAACATAATGTTTCGCCAGAACACTAATAACATCGTCTTGTTCTTCTCGTTCTTCTTCCTTTCATATTCCTAATCATAACGATCTTCATCATCATCTTCATCTTCCATCGCCGTTTCTCCTTTCGGGTCGCGGAGGCAGACGCGTCAGACAGTGCAACGTTTCCAATCCTGTGCCACAGTCTGAGCTTCGACAGAAGACAAAGCTTTAGGAGTCTAAAGCGTAATCCTTCCACATATTTGCACTAAGTTATTCCTCGCCGTCCCCTGGCCCTTTTGCCTCGGCTTAAAAAGTAGCAACTGTGTGGTCTTCCTCTCTGGAGGCATTCGCAACACGCCCAAAACCACCACAGTTGTGACCTCTCAGTCTGAAGCGGCAGCGGCAGTATGCCAAGGATCTTGTGAATTTTGTACTCCGGACCATGCTCAAACTCGTGAGCCAGCCATATACCATTTCAGCAGCCTATACCCGATAA